CCCGGACCGGTGTCTCTGAATATACTGACCTACACAATGTTAGGTATTCCGACTGTTTCTCATGAGGCAGCATGATACAGATCACAGGCCAAAACAACAGCTACAGGTGATGGATCAATTTCTACTTGGAAATATACAGAATCAGAGGTTGAATAAAGCATCACACACAAAGCAGTGGTTCTTATGATCAAACAAGGAAAACTTATCAAAGATCCTAGCAAGAATAACAGGTAGAAAAAAAAAACCTTGTAGCGAAGATTACACAATTAAGATTTTAAGGTCATGCATCCTACAACCTTGTATCTTGGCAAACTAAACTTAGTCAAGTGCATCCAACATTGTCATTGCTAAACTTATGCAACACAAGCACAAGAATAATACTAGATGGTCTTGCATCAATGAAAGACTAACTCATAAGCCTATTGCTCGAGTGTACCTTTCTCTATACGACGGCGTATCGATCTCGAAACTTCAATAGTAAAGCGAACCTGGAAGAGTAAAATTTGGAGGAAATTAAAAACAAAATTGGACCCATAAATAGAGATGAAAAATGAGAAGATAAAAAGTCTTTCTAATGCTAACATGCCTTGCCACCATTCCCCTCTGTCAGCAGCATGTGGATTACCCAAGTAATTTCCTTCATCAGTGATAAACTGGTAGCAGTTCAAACATGCGGAATGTTAAGAATCATTTAAAATGCTAAATCTTATAATCTGAAGAACACCAAAAATAAGATTCTAATAAATGGCTAGCACAGAATCTTCCTATATAATCTGTAAAGTAGTGTTGTTGCATACATTTTTCCAAGTTCCAGAGGTGTGAGTGGATGAAGAGCTCGTGTAGAAATCCCTGGCACCGTAATGCACCGATGAGCCGAAACAGGGTGACTCTATTGACTCATTGGGATAGACTGGTTTCCCTTCTTTGTTCTGTGTGATTTGCCTTCTACTTGGGCTTCCATGAGATTGACTTCCAGCTGAAAATTCACACTTTCAATTATCCCAAACAAAGATTCGCATTCAACCTACATGTTGAGATTCTTGCATTTCTATGCAAAGAAAAGGTTTCTGACCAAGGACAGTTGACGTTTGATAGCATTTGCCCCTTTTTGAAACAAGGATCAGTGACCCAAGAACAAGGATTGGCATATATCTCATCAGAGAAATCGAATTCTGAAGCAATGGTTTTGATTCTTCTTCGAGAAATACCAAACCATATTGTGTATCCAATAGAAACCAAATGAGGAAAGAAATGGCGAGTCTGATTAAGAACCTGCATTTGCGCAGCGAGCACTTGCGATGCGACCTTCGCCTCTCTGCTTGTTCAGAGTCCAGCACAGATCGGAATGCGACAAATCCTTGGCGATCACCTGGCACCGTGTGTGGAGGATAATTAGGAACCCTAGAGAACAAGCAAGAGGTCGAACTCCACAATAGAGTACCCAAAGAAAAAGTACAGATTCGATCCGATCCGTTCGAGGGCTTAAGGCGAAAAGACGGAGTCAAAAGAGACCCTTTTTCTTGGATGACGGGAAGGGAGAAGGGAAAACCTTCGATCCCCCACCTTCAAGAAAGTCGATCAACAACCCATCGGATCGCGCAGCAAATGCAAGATCGGCGACGCGGGAATCAAGAAAGAGTCGACGAACGTACCGCCGATGGGGGAGGGATGACGGTGCTGAAATATCCAGGGCGGAAGGAGGAGGATGATGACGTCGTCGCCGAGGGCTTCGCATTCTTCCGCCCGACAAACTCGTCGACGGACGACGTGGAGGAGGAAGCGGAGGACGAAGAAGTGTTCTTACTTTCCATCGGCCCTAATATGCGTAGGAGGAGGAGGAAGATGTCTGCTCGTCCTCTCGGTTGAGTTCTTCAGATGAGGCAGGGGCCACGCGAAGGGCGAGGAGGGCATACAAAGCGGCGACGCCGACTCTCGTCGGTGGAACCCCAGCAGATCAAATCCTGGAGAATTCCTATCGAGGATACGCATCAAGATCTCACCCTTTTCCTCGATCCTCTCTCTGTTCTCAATTCCAAGAATCTAAAGCATTGCCTTCTCGTCTTCGATACGCATTCATGGGCGTCGAGGGTGGGTGGGGACCCGCGACGACACGCGTGCGAGCGGATAAGGATCGGCCGCAACTCCCGGCTCAGGCTCTGCCGCGGCGCTCGCGCCTTGGTCGAGCCACCCGACCACAAATAGACGGCCGCCTAGGTCGGGTTTCTTCCGGGACCACAAATCACTACCACTCAGAACTCTGGTTTCCGTGTCTCGTGGATGTGTAGGCGCAGCGTCAGGTGCTAGTAAGTTGCGCGCTTTGGCACCAACTTCTCCCTTGATGTTGACTTAGTCAAATATAACAGGTGTAGGGCCCACATCTCGCAGTAAACGAATGAGATATTTGGTGGTACAAATTGGGGGCGAATCGAAGGAAGTGAGACTTCGCCACGAAGTAACGTCGGATGCAGACACACTGCGGCGCGGGTGAGTCACGTCAACCACCGACATCGGCCGCGGGGGCCGCCGCGTGTCGCGCATCGGGCGTTACGTGGCACTACGCAGACAGACGACGCGTTCCGTCACCCGCCCGTAACGAGTAGATACGCGTCACGTGGGTCCCGCCGCCCCCCCCCGCTACGAACTGTGGATAGAGCCGGAGGTGGAGTCACGGACTCACCCTTCAGAAACCCGCAAACTTTACCTCGCGGTCCCTGCACTGAGCTGACAAGAAGAGGAGATGAAGTTTGAAGCTAAGGGCCTTTTAGTCTTAAAAGCATTATTTGATTACGAATCACTTAACTTGCAAGTTTATTTGATGGACAAGAATGTTATCCGTGAAAACTTTTTGTCTTAAAGAATCTCTAAGGATCGTTGAAAACGAAGGAAAAGAAATGTATACATTTGAAGAGAGATTGGGTATATAAATAAATGTGAAGAACAGCAAAGGGACGGCCCAATGGATCAACAACAAAGGCTAGCATATCAGATGAATTGAATTACGGTGGAAGTTGAATTGTGAATGTGGCTTTCAAAATAGTTTGAAGTGTAAATCTTTAATAAATTATTTTATCTTCATAGAATTATTATATATGATGATAATATCATTAACATAGACTAGTAGATATATAATACGTTTTTTTTGTTATCGTAGAAACAAAAATGTATTAGATTTAGAGTTGATGAGGCCAACTGATATAAAAAATGAGCCAAGTTTGGTATATCGAATTCTTGGAACACGACGAAGTTCATAAATAATTTTTTATAGTTCACAAACATTGTTTATATATTGAGGATAGATGAAACCAGAGGGTTAGTTATTGTATAAAGACATCTTCAGTCAAGATCTCATGTAAAAAAGTATTGTTAACATCTAGTTGACATATATGCCAACCTTGAATGATAGGGAAACTATGATGAGTTGAATCATCATTGATTTAACAATTATATTAAAGGTTTGAAATCAATACATAGTCATTAGTGAAACTTTTTAAGTAGTAGACATGTGTTGTATCTAGCAATGGATCCTTTTATATTTCATTTAATTTGAAAGATTCATTTACACCCGATGATATTTTGTATGAGGTAAAATGATATAAGGGTCCATATGACATTATGAAGTAGGGCGTCACACTCTTCGTATATGGCTTTGCACCAGTATCAAGATTTTTAGGATTAGGTAATGGCTCTATGTTTCATAGAATTAGGTGAAGAGCTAATGGTAGCATAAATATTAATGATTTGGCATTGTTTGAATATACCAATTTTGAAGCATGTTGTTATGTAATATCGGGCATTGTAAAGTAGGTTAGTGGAAAGATAAACTGAGAAGTTACAAAGGGGGTGAGGTGCTGCTGAATTAGAGTAATAAGGGAATACAGGTTTAGAGGAGAATTGCTAGTTAAAGTGGTGAGAGGTGCGTTTGAGGAGGTTTAAGATATATTCGTATGAATCGAGTAATGGACAGTTATTATAGTGGCTCACATTGCTTAAGGAGCAAGATTTTAAAAGGGAAATATAGACTCAATAAAAATAGCATAACATAATACAAGGACATTTTAAGTTTTTAAATCATAACACTAAAAAACATTATGTTCAAGGCGATTCTAGATGATAATGTAAGGTTTGGATCTTGATGTTAACTTATGCAAAGCATAGAAACATAGCCAAGGATAACATAAAAAATTAAATACTTAAACTTTTTTAATGTCTAAGGTTTTGTGAAATAGTTTTTCAAGTAGTGACTAATATTATAGGATTAGGGTAAGTATGTAATTAATAAGATAGACAATAATTTAAAATGCTACTAACAAAAATGTTAGTAACATAGAGGCTTGATATATGAAGCTAAGACCAGTTCGAATTATGTGTCGGTGCTTTCGTTATATTGAGCTAATTAGTTGAAGTGTGTGTGATAATGATTTAAGATATTGTACACCATATGATGAGAGTTAACTTGTTAAGGCTTGAAATTAACATTCCCAATCAGAGTAAACTATCTTAATAGTAAATTAGAAGAAATTCTCGATCGCCTCTCCAAACTGAGTAAAGACTATAATAACTTTAGATTTATATTTGAAAGGATACATTCATGCATATTTAGTGAAATAATATATAAAAATGGGGGGGGGGGTGAATTAATGCAGTAAAAAACTTTTACGATTTCAGAAAATATTTCATACGTTCGAAGGAAATCGATTCGGAAAGATAGTAACTTTAAAACGTAAGAGAGCGTAAGTGTAGTGAAAGCAATACGAGGAGAAGAAGCACTTTGCTATGAAATGATTTGCAGTTAAAGAAAATTGCTCAAAATGAAATGCAAACCAGATTTAGAGTGGTTCGATCAATATGACCTATATCTACTATTGGATTCCTCCTCCGATGAGGTCTATGGCGTCCACTAAAGGCCTTCCTTCAATAGATGAAGACCAACCACCTTTTACAGTGCTTTCTCCTTTTCACGGGTTTAGGAGAGAAACCTTACAAGTCTCACACTTCTCTTGAATGATATCAAAACTTAGAAAGGGAGGAAGAGAACTCTACCGCTTTATTTACAACACTTGTACACCCCAATAACTTAAGATTATAATCACACTTCGGTACCTTTTCATGCTGAAATGGGTGGGGTATTTATAGGCCCCAATGACTTTAAAAAATGGAGCCAAAAAATATCTCATCCCGAATTTCCGGGGTACTGGCGATACCATTGCCATTACTGGGCGGTACTACCACTCAGTTTGGGTAGTACCACCGCCTGACAGAGCTCGGAGACTGAGCTCTAGCGATAGCATCGCCTAACAGGGGCAGTACCACCGCTGGCAGTAATAACTACCGATGGTGCCACCGCCTAGACCACTTGGGGTGTTGTTTTCCAGGCGGTGCCACCACCGGTCAGGAATTCAACATCTTGATTGGGCCTTGACTCCGACCCAAACCAGCCCAACTCCGAGCCTAGTTGGCCTCTAACAGAGTTGATGAGATTACCTCCCAAATCAACTCTAATTATCGTTCTAACAACGATTAAGGCAAGCATGGTTCGTCGATTTTTCACTGGGCGATCTACTGGCAAACTTTTCGATGAGTCTTCCGACGAGCTTCCTGCGAACTCCCGACCAACTCTTGGCTAGTCTTCCGGTGATCTTCCGACGAGCTTTCGACGAGTCTTCCAATGTGCTTCCAATGATCTCACGATGAACTCTTGGCGAGCTCCCGGTATATCGTTCGAGTCTTCGACTCCGGCCCATCATCCGCTTTACGTCTTACTGCTTAATCCTACATACTTATCTTAACATATGGATTAGATCAAATAATTTACCAATTGATTTCATCGTCAAAATCCAAGATTCAATAGTATTATCAAAAGAAGTGATTGAGATAAAGTACAAAACATCAATATAAATAATATGGAGCAAGATATATAAGACATTCCAAACGATGGTCTATAGTCTATGATTTTTTATTACTGAAACAACCAACATAATAAGTTATAATTCTATTGGATTTGGAAGTTGAAAGATACACTGATAAATTAGCTATTGTTGAAAGAAGGATTTCAGATTTGTAAAACTACATACGGTGGAGATACGAGGCCCAAATTTCCCTTAATCGTAAGCCGACGAGCATTGTCGATGGCTATGGCTATTGGAGGTGGATTAGTCGACGGAGTCATCGACTAGGAAGTGGTGAGATCAACCACTGATGCGTTGGCATGCGGTAAGCCACTGTAGTGTACAGGAAGTAAAGCATGAAGGCCTTGTTCTCGTTTGATGATCTTATCTGGGATTTGTAGAAGAGGGCAATCTCTTCTTTCCCAAATCCCTTTACTCGATTGCAGGGTAAAAGAGACCAATAGGGGCAGATGCTATCTGCCTTAAGTGAGTTACAAGGAAGTAGCAACGAAAAAATGAAATCGTTGCAGCAAGACAGAGGAATAGTCGTCGCCAAAAAATCAACGGGATAGAGAAGAAAAGAGAGCAAGAAATAGAGAGTCTTGCTTGAAGCACGAAGGCTCTAATATCATGAAAAATCAAAGAATTTATTATAAAATGGATGATTTCATTCATTAAGATAATATAAATATATATAAGTTTTGAAAAAGATATTTCTCTCAATCATATATTCAAGTCATGTACACAAATTTATGATTTATCTTCAAATCATAAATTAATTAAGGATCAAGATAGACAAAGAATGTAAAGTTATAATTCTTTATTTACCTTTATCATGATCTTCTATCACAAGTACATAACTCACCCACACATAACGATGGTCGATTAAGATGTCCAATGTTTAGTGTTCTTCGATCAGTATTGTTAATACTATCTTATTCTTTATGCTCTATTATGTTTTTTTTTATTCTAAAGTAATTAGCTTGAGCTTAAATATTTTAACAAATTAATTGAGCAAAATTTCATCATATAATTATAATTTTTTTTCTATTTTTTAAAAAAATAAATATTTACTATCGACAAGCCATAGTAACTACACATATCAAGGAAACTAAAATATTTATATAAATTATTTTAAAAAAATATGTTGATAAATATATCTTAATTTGTTGAAGGT